GTCAACCCTGAGCCGGTGAGATATGAACAGCTGAACTGCAGAACTGCAGTCAGCTGAAGTAGCCTGCAGTGCTGCATTTAACCACTGCGCCACCTCGGCTCTATTGGGCACCAATGAACTACTGCACAACTTCCTTAAGTCCATCAGACTGCCTGACCCATGGCAGTTCATTTAATTTCACTTAATTTTAAGCAAAATGAGAAGCTGGCAGTCTGTAGCTCATCAGCACGCGAAATCATCTTTATCTCCAAGAACGTCCCTGGATTCCAGATAGCCCCAGAAGCTTTTGATCAAGTCAGCCGCTGCAGATAGAGTAGATAGATGGGTACCACTTGGGTGGGCAACTTAACAGGGACATGAAAGGAATTCCAAAGGGGGGGTGGGGTGGTCTCCCAGGCAATGATAGTGTCACCATTCAACCCTTTGAATTATGAGGCGCTTCGGTGCTCCCGACAGGACTATAGTAGCATTAGTAGCAGAAAACAGATGTGTTTCTTCACACAACAGCTTTGGTTGCAAGTGGAAAAGGACATTTTCAAGAGATTCACTTCTTTCAGATCTCATAAACAAGATGGGAAAAATCAGTTTTTATAGCACGTTATAGAAAGTTTCAAGGAAGCCAGCTCCTCTTAGCCACAATAAACGAATACTTTTCCCTCACAAATAGTATTTTAGGGACAACATCAATACAGATAGTCTTATTTATTTAAATCCTACCTTTGTTATTTTTTACAAATAACTCAAGGCAAGAGAACACAATAGTCCTTATTTGGCTACTGTATTTAGTAGACATTCAGTTATGACAGTGATGAAAAAGTAACTTTATGACCAATGCTTGTAATTATGACTTGCAGGCCTATAAAGTGAAGGAAGTTAAGATCATAAGCATAATTTCACTTAATAACCCTTCACTTAAATGCTGAGTTGCTGTTCCCAATGGTTCACCGACAAATGCGCGCCCGACAAAACCGCCGTGACAAAACGGCAAAATCGAAAGCGTGCCCAAGAGCGCGTCATCGAAAAACACAAAAACAATGGTAACAACGGTAACAACCCTAATCCTTACCCTAAACCAGTGATGGCGAACCTATGACACGCGAGTCAGTGCTGACACGCGTAGCCATTTGGGGTGACACGCACAGGATTTCATGCGATTCATCCT